TGGACTTTGTTCTTTCCCTTTGGGATATTTTTTTTTAAAGATATTTTTATTAATTTCATCCAATAACCCACACCTGACAAGAACATATATTGATAATACGTATCTACAAATATACACAGACGAGCAAACAGCCATAATTTCTTCTCAACAATATATCTCTAATCCTCTCCTAACCCTTTCACTTTATTTTCCATTTAAGTAATTTCTCCCACGTCTTCTTAAATATCTCCTCATCTTTCCCTTTTTTATATATCAGACAGTTTATCCATTTCAGCAACATCGAACCATTTTTGAGCCACTTCTAAGTTATCTGGAATTTTCTCAGTTTTCCAGTATTTGGCGTAGCACATTCTGGCAGCTGTTATACAGTGTAACAGTAAATTCTTTCCTTCCTTCCCACCTACTTCTGGTATAATATTTAACAGAAACATTTCAGGTTTCCGTGGGATCGACACCTCCATAATTTCCTCTAACATCTTTCCGATCTTCTCCCAGTATTCATTGGCCTTGTTACATGTCCACCACATGTGGAAGTATGTACCGACATTATGTCTGCATTTCCAACAGATATTTGTCGAGTTCTTAGAATACTTTGCTAGTCTGGAGAGGTACAGATACCATCTGTGGGCCACTTTATAGATATTTTCTTTAAAAAGAGTTGCCCTGGTAATTTTCACATTTGTCTCCCATATCTTTAACCACTTATCCGGTTCTATGTCATATCCTAAATCTTTATTCCAGCTTCTTAAACTGGCCCATATCACCTCTTCCTGTGTCTTCCCATCTAGTAAGACTCTATATAGTCTCTTTATCATTTGGGCCTCCGAAGCGAACCACATCTTATCCATGTCTATCAGTTTTTCATAAAACCCAACTTTCTGGTCTTCTTTAAATCTTGATTTTAACTGCATGTTTTGTAGCCATGACAATTCTATATTTAGTGCTTTCAAGCTATCCAATGGCTTTAAATTACCGTTATTGTCCAGTAGACTATCATATGAACACCTATTTCCATGAACATACAAAGTTGGTACCTCTAAGGCTTCTATAGGGGATACCCATCTAGGTATTTTCTTATAATATTGCGATTTAACCCCTCTCCAAACCTTTATTAGAGACCCTCTTACATAATGATGCTCAAAATATTTATTTTCTTTATTATACCAAAGAGTGGTGTGCCATCCCATTGGAAGGTCATGACCCTCTAATTTCAAAAGTCTACCATTTGACAGTGTTGCCCACTCCCTTATCTATACCAAAGCGGCGGCCTTATAATATAACTCCCAATCTGGCAATGCAAAACCACCTATCTCTTTCCTACTCTGCATCATCCTTAGTTTAAATCTCGGCTTCTTCGCTTGCCAAATAAACACGGAACTAATCTTTCCCAGTTCTTTAAAGAACTCCTGATTTCTAATAATGGGTAATGTTTGAAAGAGGAACATTAGTTTTGGGAGGATCATCATCTTAATTGCGGCAATTCTACCTAACAAAGATAACTGTAAATCCCTCCAGTTTTCCAGATCTTTCTTCACCTCCACAAGCGCTTTCTTATAATTGTCTTCAAATAAAGAACTGCATTTATTTGTTAGCCAGACTCCTAAGTATTTAATTCTCTTAGTGATTATAAACCCTGTTTTTTCTTGTATCATTTTTTCAATTCCCTTGGAACAGTTCTTTGTTAATATTTTAGACAGTTTACCTATAATCCTGCCACCTGACCATGTATTTGCAATACATATACCAATTGTCCTAATGAGGTTACCGGTTCTTCTAACACAAACGCTAGATCATCGGCATATGCCTGCAATTTAAAGTGTTCTCCTTTGACATTTAAACCCTTAATTAATGGATCAGCTCTCACAATATCATTGAGTAGTTCTATTGCAAAAATAAACAATAAAGGCGACAGAGGGCATCCCTGCCTTGTCCCCTTCTGTATTTGTATCTTTGCAGTTATATGTCCATTAAAAATTATTCTAGCCACTTGCTGCTGGTAAATCGCCTGTATCATACGGAGAAAGACATCCCCACAGTCCCAGTGCTTAAACTGTCTCAAAATGAACTCCCAACTAACATTATCAAATGCCTTCTCAGCGTCAAGAAATAAAAGGGCTAACTGTTGGCTTGGATGAGATTCATACAACTCCAAGTCCTGCTTGAAAGTCTTCCTTGCTTGAAAGGCTGCCTTGAGAAAGACAGGAGCGCTCCGTCTATGAATGTCAGCTGCTTAATGGGCCTTTTGTAGGACCAGCAACGAACATCAATTTAGACTTCAATGTAACCACAAAAGGAAACTTCCCCCTTTAGAAGACTTTCAAGCATAGAGAAGCGGGTGTACAATTCTAGAAACTCCCGTTGGGGTTGATTGCGTAAAAAGGATGTATATTGACTGGTAGCTATTAGATTGTACAAACTGATTATTATTGTTGATATTGCATGTAATGAATATATACCTGTTTTAGAATATTATGAATAATACACAATGCACTTTATAATATGGAATATATAGAACACTTTAACTTATAAAAAAAAAGATTTTTGCAGTGTATATATTTGTTGTTTGACCCACCTGGAGGTTGGCAGTCCGAGGTATACCTCCAGACCATTCTCTTTGATACGTACAGGAAGACGCATATACAGGTGCATCTTTTCCCCCACCAGTGCCATGCAGTGAACAAAAGGCATGAACATCAGAGACTGATAAGCTTGGCTCATGACTGTCATAATTCTTACGCAAGGTGTTGGGCAGTTTGAGCCAGTTTGGCGTAGTGGCTAAGAGTGGCAGACTCTAATCTGGGAGAACCGGGTTTGATTCCCCACTCCTCCACTTGCAGCTGCTGGCTGACCCTGGGCAAGCCATAGTTCTGACAGAACTGTCCTTAAAAGAGCAGTTTCTGTCAGAGCTCCCTCAGCCCCAGCTACCGCACAGGGTGTCTATTGCGGGGAGGGGAAGGGAAAGGAGACTGCAAGCCGCTCTGAGACTCGGAGTGGAGGGGCGGAGAATAAATCCAATTCTCTTCTCCACAACACAAAATGGCTGCCCCAGGAGGCAGAGCCAACCACAAAATGGCCACCACAGGAGACAGAGCCATGCACAGAGGAGGCCCAAATGCAGGGGACAAGTATAAGTTGATGGTAAGTCAGCCAGATGTTCTCTAAGAAGGGTCAGGAGAGGGAGCTGCTACTGGAGTGTCTGGAGAGGCACTCTGGCAGGGGAGTTACCAAGGAAGTGCCAGTCAGACGGGACTGATTTTGAAATGGATTGCAGCAGCATGGCTGGGTGAGGGAGCTGGGGCAGTGACATGCAAAGTCAAATGGAGTGCCTCAAGGATCTGTCCTGGGAGTTGTTCTACTGACACTTCCACAGCCTGCAGTTTAGCGTCTTAACCACTTGAGCCACCACAGTTCCGGGTTACCTTTAGGAGCTTACAATACAAATAAGCATTGCACATCTCTGGTTGTTTATGTTCTTTGTGACCTCAGAGGAGATAAACCAAACTAATGTTGTTCTCTCTGTCTCAGCAACAGGGAGAAAAGCAATTCACATTCTTAAGTGTTATTTTGCCAATATAAATCCTAACCCTAACCTCTTCACCGTTCCCTGTGATTTTATTACATCTAGGATGAAGCGGTTGCGTTTCTGATAATCCCACTTACGGTTTTAACAGCTTCATTTAATTGGATAGTGGAGCCAATACGGGAAGCAACCGGGAAAGAAACAAATTCCTCCACCACCAATGGTGTGACATTAACATATATCCAAGCAATGGCCAGAAATTCACGGACATGTATTTTTTTTAATGCCATATAACAACGTATTCTGCTCTGAAAGGTTCAATAAGCTTTGCGCTTCTCATCGAGGGGTTCAACATCCTTATCAATGATCTGGATGAAGGAATAGAGGGAATGCGTATTAAATCTGCACATGATACTAAATTGGGAGGGGTAGCAAATACAGTAGAAGGCTGAGTCAGGATATAGGATGATTTTGACAGGCTGGAAAACTGGGCTAAAATAAATAAAATGGATTTCAACGGGGATAAATGTAAAGTTCTGCATTTAGGTAGGAAAAATCAAATGCATCCTTATAGGATGGGGGAGACTTGTCTTGGCAGTAGTATGTGTGAAACAATGGGGGAAAGGACTTACCAAATGCTTCCATGTGACTGTCATCTTCTGCATCTCTGCATCAGATATTTATACAATAAGTGGTACAGAAAGACAGCAGAGATGGCAGGCCTCAGGTGAGACTGCGTAACATAGCCCCTGTTCTGAAGAGCAGGAGACAGACCAATAGGGTTCCCACGTCCGGGTTGGAAAATACCTGGAGACTTTGGGGGTGGAGCCGGGAGAGGGCGCCCAGCGGAGGGCAACAAAGACGGTGAGGGGCCTGGAGACCAAGTCCCATGAGGAAAGGTTGAAGGAGCTGGGTGTGTTTAGCCTGGAGAGGAGACGACGGAGAGGTGATATGATAACCATTTTCAAGTACTTGGAGGGCTGTCATCTAGATTATGGTGTGGAGTTGTTGTCTGTTGCCCCAGAAGGTCAGACCAGAACCAACGGGTTGAAATTACATCAGAAGAGTTTTTGGCTGACCATTAGGAAGAACTTCCTGACAGCGCGGTTCCTCAGTGCAACAGGCTTCCTGGGGGGGGAGTTTCAAACAGAGGCTAGATGGCCCCATCTGACAGCAAGTCTGATTCTGTGAACTGAGGCAGATCATGAGAAGGGAGGGCAGGAAGGGTTGCCTCAGTGCTCAGTTTTTGTCGCTCTTCGTACACACCCAGGGAAATGCCGATCACCACTGTGGTTTCAGGAAGCAGTTTTCTCCAGGCCAGTTTGGCCAGGGTTTGGTCATCTTCTTGGCATGAAAAAGGGGTTACTGGAGGTGGTGGGGGGGAGGTATTTGTGAATTTTCTGCATTGTGCCGGGGGTTGGACTAGATGAACCTGGAGGTCCCTTCCAGCTCTACGATTCTATGATTCTATCACAATTTTTAAAAATACACGAGGAACGAAGAGTGTGCCAGAGAGTGAAACCAACACTACGGTGGCAGCTGCAAGCGAAACAGTGTGATTTTAATCGGCCCCGCCCATCAGATCTCTAGAGGCCAATCAGAAGCCCTGCTGGGCAACGAGACCCACTGACACCAACCACTTTCTAAAAATCCTTGCACCACGAAACGTGACAGAAAGTGCCATGGTGCCCACGAACACCACGCTGGGGGCACCTGCTCTACACAGAGAAAACCAGCCAGTCAGGGTGAAGTCTCTGTTAGGACCCTTCTCTTGGACATGTGAGAATGCTGTACAGAGAGAGGTGTTGTCATGATCTGGGCTGTGTCACCAGAGGCCTACTAGGCCCAGGGAGCCTGGTTAGCAGTGGGAGGAGGCTGGGCCTAGAAATCCCAGAAGGCCTTGGGAAGTTCTGGCGCCGATTTTGACCAATAGGGAAGAAGAGGGCTGGGGAATAAAAGAACTGGTACAAGAGGAAAAGCTGTTCTTCTTCCCAGGGAACAGGGCCAGAAGAAAGAGGCTGCTGTGGGGAAGAAACCCTGATCCTGAGGGAAGGGTGAGTAGTCTAAGGCCACTTCAGATAGTGAGCTAGGGACAGTATATATTTAGACGCGTTAGGGCATTTGATTTCTTTTCTTTTCACCCGCTTACTCTTATTATTCCTGCACCTTGTTTGTTTGACCTATAAAATAAACCTTTTCCTTGTTGCACTCTGCCTGGTCCTCACGCCTGTTATTCGGCCAAAAGGGAGGTCTGAAGGTCTTGGGAGGGTGCTCTGGGCCTTCTCAAGGGATCCTAAATCCAGAGTGGTGGCAGCGTCTGGGGACACCCCACCTGAGCCGTGACAGGTGTGAACATACGAAGTGGTGTTCAGTCATGCAAGCCCCCAGCCTGCCGTCTGAAGCAGTCGGACCCACACAGAGGCTTACCACCACCACCAGGCCCGATTTATTTATTGACGTCCCATCAGGACCCCAGAACAAAGCAACGGTGTTCTCCTACCCCTGGCTTGAGATACGCCTTCTCGACTTCCTTGCCGACTGGCATGGCGGTGTTCCAAATGATAAGGGACGACGTTGGCAGGATGTCGTGCAACTTCTTGAACAGCGTTTGCAGGTTACTCCGGTACTCCCTGAAGGCCTTCTGTAGGGGAGGTTCATTGGCAGAGCGATCGAGGTATCTGCGCAGGAAGAGGAAACCATCAGGGCTCTTGGGAACCCTGCGTCGAGGAGTGGAAACGGTCAACAGCACAGGAAAACAGATTCAGCTCCTCACCGGAGCCCAAGGTTTAAGTGAATTTCAACTGCGTTTCCTCACATGGATCCTGTCCTGCCTATTGTTTAACTTGCCGGGTATACCCAAGGGTTCTTTTTGTAGCAGGGACTCCTTTGCATATTAGGCGACACACCCCTAATGTAGCCGATCCTCCAAGAGCTTACAGTAGCCCCTGTAAGAAGAGCTCTGTAAGTTCTTGGAGGATTGGCTACATTAGGGGGTGTGTCACCTAATATGCAAAGGAGTTCCTGCTACAAAAAGAGCCCTGCGATGCTGATACGATTTCAAGTTAGAGACAGACCACCACAACGTTCTACAGAACAGGACTTTCCTTGGGCTGTAGAAGCCAGCCCCAAAATTTAGGAGTCAGACTTGTTTTTCAGAGTTTCATATATTAATTACTTTCATCAATATATCACCATTTGGGGTCTGGGTGGCACATTCACGTGGGCCTCCAGAACATGGTGGTCCGACCATGGAACGGCCGTGGCCGTAATCCGGTCCGCAGTAACCCCCGCCGCGAAGATAAAACCGAGCGTGTGCCCTGCTCTGTGGGTGGGGGCCGTGACATATTGGGAGAGTCCTAGCGCCGCCATGGACGACACCAGATCCATTGCCTGCGTGGAGGTCGCGTCTTCGACATGGACACTGAAGTCACCCAGGACTGACAGTCTAGGGCAGTGGTGGCGAACCTATGGCACGGGGGCCAGAGGTGGCACTCAGAGCCCTCTCTGTGGGCACGCGTGCCATCGCCCCAGCCAGGCCCAGACCATCACTAAAGTGTCGAGTTCTCTGCCAAATAATTTTAAGTAAATGAAAGCATTTGGGATTGCTTTCCTTACTTTGTTTGGATCATCTAAAGTTAATGTATGAGTCATTTGTTCTAAAGTAAAACCTCAGTATTCAGGTTAAATTGCCGTGTTGGCACTTTGCGATAAATAAGTGGGTTTTGGGTCGCAGTTTGGGCACTCGGTCTCTAAAAGGTTCGCCATCAGGGTGCTCCAGTGCACAGCCTGATACGGCCTCCAGCAGGGCTGGCAGGCTACTTGCCGGTGCGTTGGGCGGACGATACACCAGCCAAATAGCCAAACTCTCCCTGGCTTCCCAGACAAAGCCGGCACACTCTATGCCCGCGAGACGCGGCGGCGGGAGCGCTCTGAAGGTGTAAGCCTCCCGAATGAACAGAGTCACTCCACCCCTTAGTCCGGGATTGTTGAAGGACCGAGAACACGGGAGGAGCAAGTTGGGAGAGAGCTACCGGTCTCCCCATCTCGCACCCAGGTCTCGGTCACGCAGGCCAGGTCCATGTCCTGTTCCAACAATAAGTCATGAACCATCGTGGTCTTGTCAGCCTTTCAGCCATAGTTTCTATCAGCAAAAGGCAGGGGGAGGAACAGGGCCCTTTCCTGTTTCGGTCTTTTGGGAAGAACTCACAGGGGCCAGGTCTGGTAGCAAGCACCAGGCAGCATAAAACCACATGACTTCCATGACTCACACCAGGACTGGCTGCCTGCTACTGTTCAACCGCAGCCGCCCCCACAAAGCCAGTGCGATGCAGTGGGTAGAGTCTCAGAGGAGGATCTGACAGGGTTGAATTCCCATTCCCATTCTGCTGTGGAAGTTCACTGGGTGACCTTGGGCCAATTATACCTTCTCAGCCTATCTTACCTCACAAGATTGTTGTGAAGATAAAATGGAGGAGAGAAGTAGAAGTAGAAGAAGAGGAGGAGGAGGAGGAGGAGGAGGAGGAGAAGGAGTAGGAGTAGTAGTAGGAGGAGATTGGATTTATACCCGCCTTTCACTACCCAAAGGAGTCTCAGAGCGGCTTACAAACTCCTTTCCCTTCCCCTCCCCAC